TGTTAGATAGAAATAAATATACAAACATTTAGTTTAGAAACAATACCCATAAAATTTTTGATGAGTGAAATATATTTTTTAATAAGTTGCTTTTATTTATATCGTCATCACCATCAACCCTGTTACGTCCCCAAGGCAAGGGCTCAGGCCTTCCTTATGGATGGTTAAAAAGGACGGGCCATGATCCTCCACGCTTGCTCAATGCGGATTGGATGGTATTAACGACTGCAAATGTAGCCGGGACCAATGGCTTAAGCACGGAGTTGTTCAAGATAATAATTTTTTTTTTGGTCACCCATCCCGTGTCCGACCCTTGCGAAAGATGCTTAACAAGAACGAATGCGTGCCGCGGGCTTATCCTTATATTATATTATACTACACCACCATATATATACTAAATATCTGCACTGAATGCACAGCAGCCCCTCATTAAATGCTAATTAAAATTTTCAATCAAATACCAAATTATGTTAAAGAGCTCGAAAAACGAAAGCTTTTGAAAATCATTTGAATCAATTTCTTATAAATAAAAGCTATTATAGGGTCTCGGAATCTTTGAGGATAAGAGCCCGACCTAACTAATGTATTATAAAATAAACATATAATAAAGTAACTTCCCAATAATAATTAGGACTCATTATTTAAACTAGACTAATTTAAAAACCTATAAATTTTGTTATGGGTTATTTAGTGTTATCTATTTTATTAATGCTATATAGAGTTGCTACATCCTTACGGGATATTAAACTATTTGTAAATCAAACACTATAATATCTAATAAGTACTTGTGACATGCAATTTCTGAAATGAATAAATATAGAAACATATATAGATATTCATCATCATATTAATTTCCCTACCCCTGGAGCAGACGCCTTCAATAAATTTGAAGAGAGAATGGGTCAGCATGACCCACAATGTGATCCAGTTTGGATTGGTGGGTTTTAAAAACTGATTATAATTTTTGGCAACCCATCATTACGGCCGGCACTTGTAAAAGTGCTCGACTTACGCTTAGCAGGCTGAAAATGCTAACCATTGCGCCGTCGAGTTGCTGATATTATTATTTTAAAGCTAAGACAAATGTAGTGATTGCTGTGAAACACAAAGTGGTTTCGGAATCTTTATTATAACTTAATTTATTTATATCTTGAAATGTTAACAAATTAGCTTTTTACTTTATATAATTATTATATTTATGATAATCCTTTTGCAACTTTCGCAATCCGGGTGACTGCTCTAATCACTGAGCCACCCAGGACCTAAGTCGACTGACGAATTTTATCAATGTTCAGGCAATCCACCCAAACAGCGGAAAGAAATATTATTCACATATATTTTTGTAACTTTTGATAAAAATGCAAATTTGTTCTAAGTATTTTAATTGATCAATTTTACATCACATTCATTGTTCAGATTCCAAAACGAATAGCAAAACACTCAGACACGAAACAATATAAAAAGCTCATTTTCTACATTGACCTGACAGAGGATCAAACTCAAGCAAAGTCAAAGTAATCTTTATTCAAATAGACTTCTTAAAAGTACTTTTGAATAGGTCAAACATTTTAAACAGCAAGAACGAAAACAAAAAAATCTATGACAGTAAACCAAATAAGAATCCAAACTCATTGTACATGTTTGTGATTATGCTCTGTCGTTATCGTCTTGAGAACCTCTTGAAATATCGCCCTTGGTACTTAACCGCTGTCTTAACTCAGTATTAAAAAATTAAAATGGACGAGTTATTTACAGTAATGTCTTCTGTCGGGCGGATCATTAAAGTTTTACGGTCGCAACTACACTGCCGTAATACTTCCAAGTTCCTGTCTTTATCTTTATTTAGAGGACATTGCATTTTAAATAGAGTAGGTATCTAAATAAATGTACCAAACAAATTCTGAACTTTAACGTACATTTATTAGTATTAACTTAATTGAACATACGTAGATAAATTAAAATTAATAAACACTTTTTATTATATATAAGAAAAATAATAGCGTAACTTAGAATTTTCAGGCTCCGTAATAAGTAGCTAAAACATTTATGTTAAAGAAATCTGAAATAATAACGACCAAACTAGATATAATAACGAAAGGTTCAATGAAATCTAAATTAAGATTGCGCTACTTTGTCACTGAAGGAAAAAAATATTTCTGTGTCATAAAAGAGGAGTAATTAATAAGAAATAATTTTTTTTTTTACCTTTTTTTGACACTTTCAAATCATATTTATTATAATTAAATAGGTACTGCTTTTTATCATTACCATCAGCATATGAATGTTGATAGTGATGATAAAAAGCAGTACCATGTGAATGTCTGCACTACTTGGGCACCGTCCTTACCTATCGGCCGGTTTCTGAATTGAGAAAGTGCAAATTAAACCAAACCTGTTTAAGTGCTGTTTGAGACGTGTTTAATTTTAAATACTCAATCCAGAAACCGGATGTATGGATAAATGGATTGAATCAAATAGACAAAATTGGCCATCATTCGTCATTCTGACCCAGTGCGGATTGATAGGTGTTAGCGACTGCAGATACAGCCAGGACAAACATTATAACTTGTCTTCTAATATACCGAAGAGCTCGTTATAGTAAAATTTTGATTACCCATCCGTAATATCAGCCCTTGCTATTGTCCTATACTGTCTCAGGTAATTTGGATCTAAGCAATGTAGTGGCTCATATTTGTGATAATGTCCAATCAATAATTTTAGTCAGTCCCTACTCGAAAAAAAGTGTAGCTCAGTGGCGTTGTGGATAAACGCCATTTCCCGCGATCGTTGTTGCTAAGCTACTTTTTCAAGGGTTGGTCACGGGATGGGTGACCAAAAATTACTATCTTGAGCTATTGAGGGCACGTTAAGGCGTTGATCCCGAATCCTCTTTATCAGAGCCCTTGCAGTGGGAACGTAAAAGAACTTATGATAATAATGATTCGAATAAAGTTAACCTAAAAATAGTTTACCGAATGATGTCTGTACCGCATATTCCAGCGATAACTAGGAGTAATAATGCTAAAAACTGCTAGTTCAGGTAGCTGAAATACTGTAACGTGCCTTATCAAAGACAGCTATAGGTGACAGCTTTCTATTTCAGCATCGTTCCGGACGCGACACAACCGGTTTCATTTCCCTGAAAAGCTGCATGTTACACGACGCCACTACTATGCGTGGATGTAAACAATTTGTTTCATGTTAACAGAACAATGGAACATGGGATCAGCTTTTGTTACTATTGAAATTGAGTATTCACAAAAGAATATTGTTCTAATGATAATTTCGTTTTACAATATGTTATTTATTTTAGTTTGGAAAACTAACAGGTGAAGATATACAATAGAGTTCAATTATACATTTATACTCCATTTACAAGTTTTCACTTATAATAACGGAAGCAAAAATCGGAGTAGAAATTGGAAATCAATAGCCTTATAAGTGTAAAGTCAATAGCCTTGTAATTGTTTTGTATAAATCAATTGAACAGTTTAGAAATGCACAAGAAATATATATACTTATAATAAAGCTAAATAATTTGTTTGAATTTTTTAATCTCAGGAACTACGAACGAATTGAATTATTTTTTTTTTGTGTTGAATAGTCCATTTATCGAGGAAATCTATAGGCTATATAACATCACGCTATGACTTATAAAAGTAAAGCAGCAGTGAAAAATATGATTAAATTTGAGAATATTTAACTTTTTGATAGCTTTCCTTGCATGTGCTGCGTAATCTGTATAAGTTAAGTTCATAACTTTAGTAACCATTGTTTACAATTCAATTTATCATTGTAATGATATTCCATTTCATTGTTTTCAATAAAAATCAAATGGGTAAAACCGTGCAATGTTGATTATGTACAAAAAAAAAGCTGATGCCACTGGTCACTAGATCACGCAATTGTACTTCTAACACGGGTTTTAGTTTTTTTTATATTTGTTGTCTCTATTTTTCCGGTTTTTATCAAAAAAAGTAGCTTTCGTTTTCAATTTTGCGTTTTCCCAATAATATATTTAATGGGGAATTATTAATGGGGCGACAAATAATATGTTACTTTTAACTGTTTTACAACTCTGAGGATCTATATTGCACAAACTGTGTGAAAGCATTTTGTACTACCTCCAGGGAAGAAAACTTCTTGGCACGTAGAAAAATGGTAGTCCGTTGGAGCAAGGTTTGGAAAATACGGAGGATGAAGAATGGTTATTAACTGTTCCTGAAGAGTCAAAACGATTTCTCGTGCTGTATGAGGTCTCGGCTTGTCGTAGAGCTATAATAGTGAATATCAATTCCTGAGTTGGAGCTACTTTACTGTTAGTTTTGCCAACATTGTTCAGAGTTCGGAACAGTAGACGTTATTGCTTGACCAGATCGGAGAAAACTATAGTGAATAACACCATACTAAAACCACCAAACAGCTACCATTATCTTTTTATTGTTCTGCTTTAAGACACTGTTGTAGCGTTTGACCTGGGGTCAGCTATTGCATTTTTCTATTACGGTTATCATAAAGAATGCACTTTTCATTATATGTCACAATGCGATCCAATATTCCTTCATTTCTGTACCGGTTCAACAAGGCAACACGAGTTTCTTTCTGCAGATCAGTCAAATCATGAGGACCCATTTTTCGTATTTTTTTATTTTATTGATGTAGACGAATCCACCATAATTTTGTGTAAATAAGAACTTTTTTTTGTAATATTTCTTTTTATATTGATATTCTATTAACTGTCTAAAACGTCTTTTTCATATTTATGTGTTTTGTTTTTTGGTTGAACTTGTCATCTAAAATACTAAAATTATCATATAAAAAATAAAACAAATTCATAATAACTGGACTTTTTTAAATATTCTTTTACAGTGGTATAGTGTTTTGATACATGTTCATGAATATTTTCTCAAACTGCTGCTTCATATACAAGTCGTTCCTCCGCGAAGGTTACTGCGAGAAAACTCGAAACAGAAGCGTCTTACGCCCATATCCTCGCAGTTTTGGAGGCCAAGTGTGTAGAAGCAGAACGAATAGCTTCAGAAGCACAACGCAAAACTGTGGAGGCCCAGTACAGGGCTGAGCTCGCTGCTATCGAAGCTGTTGCTAATGAACGCAACTCTCGCAGTCGCACTGAGGAATTGGTTCGCAGTTAAGTGGCAAACAGTAATTGCCAGGTAGGGCTTACTAATCACGTTTCAGATTTTTTGCAGATCTTTGAAAAAAATCGTGACGACGTTGTTTCTCATAATGAAGCACCGCCTCCTACGCCGTTTCTGAAATCTCTGCCTTGTATGAAAAACAATAACGACTTAATTTACGTCACACAGCCCGTAGAAACCTTATTGAATTTTAAAAATGGCCCTATTATAAATAAAAGCGTGTTAACCCTCCATACATTCGACGGTAAGTCGCCGTTAGACTGGCTAATATTTGAAAAAGTCTTTCAGGATACTGTAGGTAACTTTTACTTTTCTTTGTAGGTAACATTGAATCAAGCATTAAAAGGTGCGGCGCATGAGTCAGTGAGCATGCTGTTGGTGATGGCTCGTCAACCTAATGACGTCATAGACGTCCTTGATCGTCGCTTTGGCAAACCGGAACTAATAGTATTGCAGGAAGTAAATTCCCTGTGAATAACATCGAAAATCATAAAAATATCTCTTGTTTGCTTTGCCATAAAAATCATTCTTTAATAAACTGTCAAAAATTTGAGTCTATGACAATTGATGACAGGTGGAATTTTGTAAACGAAAACAAAATTTGTCATCGATGTCTCCAAAAAGTTCTGCATATTTTTGAATTTCGTTATAAAAATAAGGCCAGTTGCACTGTTGCGACTCGCAAATTAAAGCATCATACAATGTTACATAATTTTAATTTAGTTCCTTCGACAAACGATCATACTACGACTATGCTGACGATATCTAATCTTCGTGAACAAGTTACTATAAACACAACCGCTACAATAGTAGACCTGTCACGCAGTCACCGTTTCTGGACCCACTGGGGCCGTGGACACATTTGCGCTCCTGGACGACTACGTTTATAGATTCTGACATCGCCTCACAGATAGGGCTGAAAGCCCCAGAGGGCATGTACATTTCGATTGTATAGGAGGTTTATCTAAAAATAGTTTGGTTCAGTATGTCGATTTTAAACTTAAAACCTGCGTTCATGATACAGTGCTGCTCAAATACGTGGCGTATCTCTTAACTCATTATTATTGCCAGGCCCTGATTTTTTAGGAATTTTGATGCATTTTAGGGAGGGGAAGGTAGCTTTGACCACCGATATTAAGGGAATGTTCCGCAGGTAAAAATCCAAGAACTGGATCGGAACGCTAAACGTTTTCTATGGCGAAATGAGCATATAGGACCTATTAAAATTTACCGTGTGTCTTCGACGATATTTGGTGTATATTCTAGTTATTCTACGGCTATTTACATATATAATGAACCGCAACGCGTCAGAATTCCAAGATGAATTTCCAGAGGCAGTGCACGCAATCGCGATGGATAGCTACACGGATGATTTTATCGGAAGTGTAGACGATTCAGACCAGGCAGCACGCTTGGCAGAAAATTAGTGGTTGGATTTCCAACAAACCTAGCGCTCTGAGTCGGCTACCAAAAGAGTCGATATCTGACCCTTCACCGGTAGATCAAAGTGTATATTTAGGTAGCTTGCAATCATCTACTTACACTCACACATTTGGTTTGATCTGGCAAACCAGTCATGATGTCATAGGTTTTAATCCAGGGCTTAAAGATTATCACCCAGGCTTCACCAAACGTAAAGTATTAGCGTCAATTCATGCGCATTTACGATCCTCTAGGCATTTTAGCTCCAATAGTAGTGAGATGTAAGAGCGTGTGTGATTGGGATGAGCGGCTATCAGGTACAGATCAGATGATCTGGGAAGAGTGGTTTGAAAGCCTAAAGTCGATTTTAGGGCTACGCGTGCCCCGATGAAACAATTCAAACAGTTTTACGGACATCCAGCTTCAAGTACTTTGTGATGCTAGTGATTTAGCCCACGCAGCCGTTGCTTATTGAAGATTCACTCTTCCCAACGGTGACGTAAAAACTTGCGCTCATAGCTAGCAAGGCACGTGTCTCTCCTTTAAAACCAGCTTCAATCCCTCGTTTAGAACTACAAAGAGCCTTCATAGCTACTCGACTCGCTACTTCCATCTGCAAATGTCATCGTTTCAAACCAGTTACCGTAACTTCAGGTGTGACTCAATTACTGTTTTAGGATGGTTATGAAGTGACACAAAAATTTAAATTTTTAAACCCTTTGTAGCGCATCGAATCGACGAGATTTTGGCAAATACCAGTGTGAATGAATGGCGTTGGATTCCCAGTGAACTTATTGTGACTGACGATGATACGAGGGGAAGTGCAGTATTGGGTCAAGTTGGATTTCAGGCCCAAAGTTTCTCTTCAATTCTGTCTCTGACTGGCCAACGGACCCACAAGTCGAGGGGAGTATTCGTCTCGCCTCATCGACTTATTCAGAACCTAAGTTTCCACTAACTTCATCACAATACACCAGTTACCCTTGCCTTGCCATTACTCATTTTAGCTCGTGGGTTGGACTTATCTTATCAATTTATTGTCTCCATCTTTAAAAACCGGGAGTCACAATTTTCAAAATTTTTGGAACTTGGGGATATTTGTGTGGACATAAATTCTAATAACCATCATACACGACATGTCGCCACCTATGCCACTGCTTCCGCACTACTAGAGGCTAGAGATATTATCCATGCGGAACGGCATATATTGGGTATGAGCCAACTCAACATCTTTAAGGAAGAGTTATATTGTTTGACAAACGGTTTACTCATACCTAAGAAAAGTCGCTTAGCCGTATTAACTCCGGTACTGAAAGATGGGCTGATAAGACTCAACGAAAGAACGTCGTCGGTCGTTGAATGTCATCCTATCATTCTCGATGGCAAGGATTCTATAACTCGTCTTCTGATACGTAAATTCCGTCGAAAATTTGCCCACCCTAACACGGAGACTGTAATAAATGAATTGAGGCAGGTTTATTGGATACTTGGTTTACGAAATGCCGTGTGGTTTGTAGTGCATAATTGCCAGATGTATAAGATTATGAAGTCGTCTGCACTGCAACCGCCGATGGCCGACCTGCCAGATGCAGCACTTGCCCATAGCCAGAGGCCCTTTACATTTATCGGCGTAGATTATTTCGGACCCATTATGGTAGCAGTTGGTTGCAGGCGAGAGAAACGGTGGATAGCGTTGTTCACCTGCATGGTCACCAGAGCAATTTACGTCGACATTGTTGCCAGCTTATCTGCAGACTCTGCACTTTATTCAGACAACGGGACGGCGTTCGGCGGCGCTAATCGCGAACTTCGAGCCCTATACAGTGCCACCTTCTCTCAGTTTGCCGCGAACCAGAAGATTTCTAGGCATTTTATCTCTCCGTCAGCACCTTTTAGGGGCGGACCATGGAAGCGCCTCATCAAGAGTATCAAGACCGCCCTAAAGGTGACGCTGAGAGAACAGGCACCACGCAAGGAAGTACTAGCTACATTGTTCACTGAAGCAGAGGCCATAATCAACGCACGCCCGCTAACACACATATGTATTTCCCGATCCTGACTATCCGGAGGCGCTCACTCCTTATCATTTTTTACTTGGCGACTCATCGGGACGTCCATTTCCGAGCCTAAACTTGTCAGACGCCGATTTGATGGGCAGAAGCAGTTAGTATAAGGTACTAAGACTCGCCGACCATTTTTGGCGCCACTGGATAACTGAGTACTTGCCAACATTTGCACCTCGACGCGTTCCGGGTTCAGATGTAAGGGTCAAATTAGGAGATCATCCTCATCGGTGATGGTGATTTACCGAGGGGGACCTGGCCACGAGGCGTGATCTCGGATTTGTTCCCGGGTCGTGACGGCGTGGTGCAGGTGGTGGTGAACGTGGTGCAGGTGGTATTTGGTATTCGGACCCAAGGAGGAGTGTTACGGCGACCCCAAAAAAAATGGTTTTTCTGTGAAAAGGGGATAATGTGGAAGAATCCACCATAATTTTGTGTTCATAGAACTCTTTTGTAATATTTATTTTTCTTTTGATATTCTATTAACTGTCTAAAACATATTTTTCATATTCATGTGTTTTGTTTTTTGGTTGAACTTGTCATCTTGATATTTTACTTGTACATACTAAAATTATCATATAAAAGAAATTCATAATAACTGGACCTTTTATTAATATAAATTAGGGTTAGGTAAATGAGTCAATATTGTAGGTAAGGTAACGTTAAACCATGCCGCTAATACCTACCTGGGTAGTTTGACTAGGATCGGCTTCCACCATCTTTCTTTATTCATCGTTATTCACCTGTATGGGCGGTCTTCCTCGTGGCTCGTTCTTCAAGTCGAAGTCGTTCTGAACCCGTATAAAAAAAACACTCGAACTTTCGCAGTATCCATCTTTCTTGTCTAAATTGAATAACAAAAACAATGGACGATATTCAAATGTTTCACATTTTTTAAAAGAAGAACATCATAGGAACCATGTGATAAAAGTTTCTTTCGAAAAACTCAAATACATGAATATTCTATGTAAATTCAATGAACCTATTACCATAAAACGGCCACTTCATACCTTAATCCCTATTATTAACATATCTGTAACTTAACGAATATTTTGCTTTCGTTATTGTTTCAATACACTCGATTTGTAATATACACATAATTACTCTCATAGTAAAATAGTCAAATTTTATAATTAGCAATCATAGCAGAGAAATCTGACGTTTTTGTAATATTTTCCTATCCAATAAACACATAGCTTGTATATTTTACTAGTTGGTACGAATAAATAATGTTCAGCTATGTGTCTCTCTGTAATCACATATTTTGTCTATTATAAGAAGTTTCCATTTTGCCCTCCTTCGAGGGCAAGATGGAAGGAGGAAGCCCTAATTAGGCTTTATGAAATTCTGAGATAGATTAGGCTTCTAGTGTTAAATGTCGGTATTGTTACCGTAATTTATATTACTTTAGCTACTTTCTACTAACCCCATAAAGGATATGGAGTGAAAATAATAAATATATAGATGGCAAATTTAATCCATTATTAGTAACAAAAGGAAATTTTAATTAATTTAGCCATTATTATTTTAGCACCAGATTAATGTATTTCGCTTGACAATTGTGAATCTATTTATATAAATTAATTGGAGAGGTTTATTTAATGCTAAACATAGATTTGAGAACCAAAATAATAAAACATATGACGCTCTTGCTCGATTTAATCCTACCCTCTCAGATTCAGTATGTGACGAATGTAACTTGCCAAATATAATTTACAGTGGATAGGAGATAGGAGCAGGGATTTATCGAACGGGTTGAATTCTCAGCGCTCTTCCACAGTTGAGAATTAATTAATCCGGATCAGAGCCCTCCCTTACGGAAACATGAGATAAAATGAGCGCGTATGTACTTACACCCCGCTACGCACAGAGATACTTACTTACACAAATCAGTGGCCTGATGGTGTAATTTCAAAATCTATCGCAATTCGTTTTAAAAGTATATCGATTCTGATAGTGATTTAACGTTTTAAGTCGCAATCACTTTCAGAACGAATGATGATTTGAATGATCAAGGAACATAGTAAAACTTAAAATAATATTAGTGTTTAAGTCTTGACTTCGATTTCGAAAATTAAATTAAATAACTTTTTAACGTAATCAGACAGACATTCATGTATTAACAAAAAAAATGTGAGTTAATTGATTACAATAAAATCAAAACAGAGAAGACCAATCAAATTAGAGAAAATCAGAATGGAGTGAATATTATCGAAACCAGCGCCCTTGAGTATATGCCCTGTTTTAATTCTGACTGACGAACTGACGAATTTTTCAAGCACTTGTTACTATTTCGCTACTATAGAGCGTATTTTCATAAATGTTCAGGCATATATTACACAGTTGAGAAAATCCTTACCATTTTTAATATTATAACAGACTACCTTTCTACAAGAAGAAGTAGAAGCCGCC